AGGGATCATATGTGCATTCCATTTTTCATCATACGAAACTTTGCCAACGCCTTTGCGGTGATCAAGGTCGGGAACAATATAAGCAGAGGCTGTTGTCTAAACGTGTCGCAAACAGGTGGTGGCCATCAGGCCAAAGAGCCATGGACACGTAGAGCTGCGATCTTCGGACCCGTTCGACAAGCCGGTCATTGTCACCAATGTTTTGCAGGACCGGTAGTCTAAGACCCCCCGCTCCGCTTTTAGCTAATGCCACTCTTCTGTAGAAGTGCTGAGGTCCCGAAAAATAACCATGGTGCACGTCTGCAGCGTTGCGGTGTGGTTGGCTGTACTATTGTCAAATTTCCATTGCAGTCATGTTGTCGTTGTTGTCCTATTGCTTCTACAACCTTCCCAACTCTCCTGCGTGACAATCCTTGCAACGTCATCGTTTTTTCAGGGAAGACTTGGCGAGCCTAACCAACGGAATAGAGATCGTGCGAGAGGTTTTTGACCGGCCCGCTTTCGGCGGCATGACTAGTCCCGACGCTTTAGTGCCGACGCTTTTCCTGGCAAACACGGCGCTACTACGGTGTGGCTTGAACATCCTGCAGATAGGCAACTGTTCCATGGCTTTTGAGCCGTGGCAGTCAGTATCTCGGGTTCACCCTCTGCTGTATTCTGATGCTAGCTATTCTAGGCCGTTGGGAGGGAAGCGAAGTGTGTTCCTGGTCCATTAGACGATTTGTTGGCTGGCCACCTCCACTCGACTCTTTTCCGACCCTTTCTTGTCCAGCTCTTGGAGTACATAAAGTCTACGAAGCACTCTGCCAATGCCGTCGTTGGCGCGTGCAAGATGGGGGCCGAATCAGACGAAATGACTGTCATGATCCCTGCGCTCCAGGTGAGCACGTGCGCCGACATCCACTCGTTGATTGGGCACTGAAGGCGCAAGACTATTTGTCTTCAAGCGTGTTACCGTGGGAGAGAGGATCCAATTTTGTCCAGAGCATGTTTAGGCGATCATGCTGCATCCTGCTTGGCTCAAGATTTCTTCGAAACTGAGACGACAGCCTTCCCCCCTCGTCGTTGAAATGCCGATTGGTGTCAGGTTAAGGGTCTAGCCGGAGTCAGGGTTGTCGATGCGTCCGTGATGCCCTGCCCTCCTGGAGGCCAGACAGGCGCCGCAACAATCATGATAGCCGAAAAGGCAGCCGATCTACTCAAGCACCCATGAATATATTGATCTACTGTATGCCGCTGCCGTCTTCAGCAGCTACTATATGTCCATTGTCCTACCATGTCGCTGCAGTGATCGTGGTTGGAACTGTAAGAGACAGATACGGGCGCCTAGCACCTACACGGAGGACCAGAATGCCAGCACTACTGCGATGCGGAGAAGAAAGGGAGGAGACTGTGCAGGAACCATCGTGTATGCTAACGGAGTGAGACGCGTGATCGAGATAGACCATTCAACCCCTTTCAGATTCGTTTCCCATAGATTGGACATGGTGCAGGGGTAAATCGGAAATTGCACTGTATGGCGTCGACTACTGCATGCTTCTCTGTTTCTGCGGTCATCACAATAACAGAATGCAACTACAAAACCTTGTGTTTGGTTTAAAACGTGACGATCGATCCATATTTATCTGAGTGTCGGAGAATGCTGCAATCGGTGAAAGTTTCCTTTGGCGTTTTATTCCAATCCGCAACAGGAGTGGTTTCTGTTGCGGAATAAAAAATAACAAAAAAATATCGTCCAAAGCAAAAAGATCTGTCAACTCGAGCAGGCTGACACTCTTGGTGGGTGCGCCGCCACTTCAAAAGTCGTGCAGGCCTCGGTCAACCTTATGGTGGAGTGGATACTCAGTCCTCGACCAATAGGAGTTCTCGAAGCCTCGCTCAAAGCTACTCGACGTCATACGACAGAGGGCCGAACCGTAGACCAGCAAACCCTGGGGCGGGCTGCGCTTGCTGCTACAAACAAGTTCCATGGGCAAGGCATACTTAACGCGAGTTGATTCCTAGAGAACGGGGGGGGTAACCTTGTACATTATTTAACATGTGGCACAAGATTCCATGGAAGGAAGTCCACTTTGAATTCCATGGAAGCCATGGAAGTCGATCGAAGCTTCTATGGACGTCGCATCTACTTCCATGGAAGCACGACTCCCATGGAAGCACGACTTCCATGGAAGCCGTATGGAAGCTCCGTGCCTGATTCCTGTGTCAGGATTGTCGATGCGTCCGTGATGTCCTGCCCCGCAACAATCACGATCGCCGAAATGGCAGCGGGATTACCAATAAGTAGCGGGTGGTTGCTTCCGTGGGAGTTGCAAACTCAACTTCCACGAAAGCACGAAGAGCTTTCGTAGAAGTCATGACTTCCATGAAATCCATGGAAGTTCGTCCGTCAATTCGCCCGCCGAATGCCCCTCCCCGAAACTGAAAGGTGTGCGTTCATGGGAACGCAGCAACTTCCATGAAAGCAACTCCCACGGAAGCGTTTGTCAGGGCTGGCAGGTAAAATAACTTGCATGGACGCTTGAAAGCATCCATGAAAGCAACTTCAAGCAATTCGATACCACGTCTAACCCAACTATCCCTAACCTTACTGCTGTCATGCGTTGCGATCCTCACGCTGGACTTGCGAGTGAAATACTTGGGTGGAAGTTGTGCCACAACATTTCTATGGAAGTCAAACTTCTACTGCCATGGAAGCTGCCCGGGCGGTTCCATGGAAGCTGGTTGAATGGACTTCGATGGAGGTCCTTCGTGAAACCCCCCTACCATCGATTCTACGAAGGTAAATTCCCTACACTTCTTATACGAACTCACGGAGAAGTTCCATGGACGTCAAATTCAATCAACTTCGATGGAAGAAGTGGTATTGACTCCCATGGGAATAAAGTTCTACGTCAATGGAAGCTGCACACGTTTGTCATTCAATGTAGGAGACCCCGAGGGGGCACGTCTTCGTTCGGGCGGAACCAGAATCGTCGCGTGTTTTGATAATTAGTCCATGCGAAAAATAGTGCTGAACTTAAGGCACCCGCCGACCCCCCAACAAGGAAAAACATACGAGGCCCCCGGAAGCGTACGTTGGAAAAAAAGTGCCGCGAAGATCTCCCCGCAAGGGTAAATCACCGACGTACGTGAACGCTATGTATCTCCCCGGCGCTAAAGCGAAACACCTACCAACAGAAAGGTGGACATTGGAGCCAGACCTAGACTATTAGATGGGGCGAAAACACATAACGCGCACGTCTTTCAATGTTTGGCCTCTTCGCGCGGTCGATGCGTATTGGAAACACGCACAGATACAACGCACGAGTGCAAAGTGGATGGCCTCGGGAGACGCATGGAATTTTTCTTTGAATGCTACCGTTTCTCCCATGACTGCCCCTCACGGGGTCCCAGATCATGGCCAACAGAAGCACTTTCCCATTTATTTCCCCAACCGCACTGAGACTGAGGTCTTTTGTTGGTCAGCCGGTTGGCGCAGTCGATGCTATCTTGTCCCGAAACCCCGAGGCCCGAGAAATCACCCCGTCGGCCGTCATACACTTCCTTACATGCCCTCAGCAAGATAAGTACACAAGTGTAGATCCAAGGAAAAGCATTTGTGTTGGTTCGGTGTGATGGGTGACAAGCCCAAACTCACAAGTGTTTGTGGTACTTGGATATGAGTCCGATCTGTGCGTCCTCTGTGGGGGATACGCGTATGGGAAGTATGGGTGTCATGGGTATGTATGCGGTTGGGATCCAAGTGCGGTCCCCCCGGGTGAGCACACGGCGGTGTGCCCCCGGCACTTGCCTGAGGGGCTTGCGTGTTCGTGACCAGCTTGCCTGAGGGGCTTGCGTGACGGATAAATAAATATATAATACATGGTCCTTTTTCATCTGCTGTTCCTGGGATAACAAAGCACCCAGTCTCAACACCACAGACCGCTGAGGGCGGCAGTGCACACTAACACGATATCGTAGAGTGGATCCTAGCTAGGCCAGGTGTTGGTTCGGCGATGACGAGGGTATGAGAGCATTTTATGGAGCTGAGGGCTCGGGAGGGTTTTTTGGGGGATGGCGACAGGCGGTCCCAAACAAGAGTGATTTTACGAGGGATGGAGGAACGTAGAGCATCGGCGGCAACGGCGAGCACGCCGATGAGTTGCGGCAGCGAAAGCTCCAGGATGTGTGCGGGGCCGGTGCAACAGCAGCAGCAGCAAGGAATGGGTTGCACTCGCGATTGGAGGAATGTCGATGTGGCTGGTGGGTTTTATGTCGGCAGTGAGCCGGGGAGATTTCACGGGCCTCCTCAGTGCGATCGGTGCGGGCGTTCTGGACACATCAGCATCAAATGCCTGGCACCAATCCACGAAACGATCTACTACTGGAAGTACAACCGATTTCATGGGCCTCCTCGGTGCGATTGGTGTGGGCGTTCTGGACACCTAAGCATTACATGCCTGACACCAAACCACGAAATGATCTACTGGAAGAATTACCTACCTGGTACGTTTCAGCAGCAGCGGAGGAACGGCGAGTTTGGCGGCGAGTCTGTGTGTTCGCAGCAGCAGCAGCAGCAGCAGCAGCAGCAGCAGCAGCAGCCAGGCGTGGTGTATGGCGGAGACTCTCAGCAACAGCCGCGGCAACAACAGCTAGCGGCCGGCTTCACAGGGGGTGCAGGTGGACCGGTGGGTGGTGGGGGTGTTTGTTGTTGACAAGGGGGGGGGGGCTGCTGCCGGTTCGTCTGCGGCGCATTTGCCGGTAAAAGCTCCCGCCAACGTAGCTTCTCTCAGCGTAAACACACACTCCGCCACTCGCTCTCCCGAGCGGCCCGCAACATCACGTGTAGCACCTGCAGTAGTGCGGCAACGCGATGAGCTGGACCTCATGGAGGGCGGTTACAACAGTAGACGTGTAGCGGAGGAACACACGCTTGGATCGTATCACGTTGTTGTAGTTTCGCCGTCCGCGGAATCACAACAACCCAAGCATTCGTCGGAAGCGGCAGCAGCAGCAGCAGCATCGTCCCTGGTCGCCGCGTTGGCGCCGGGTACTCAGACGGATGCAGCGGCGATGGCGGCGGCGTCAGTGACAGGGGGAACGGCAGCGGCAGCAGCAGCTGCGGCGTGTCGTCGGGTATCCAGACGGTTGCAGCGGCGGCGGTAGCGACATCGATGACGGGGGGTACGGCAGCGGCGACAGCAGCAGCGGCGTCCCCGGTCGCCGCGTTGGCGTCGGGTGTCCAGACGGCCGCAACGGGGGCGGCGGCGGCGGCACCGGTGACGGACGTATGTGACGAAGAGTTGGAGGAAGCGGTTGGTGCGACGACGACGCCGTTGCCAGTCCTGGAGGAGCTCGACAGCCAATGGGCTGGACGTGAGCAGCAGCAGCAGCAGCAGCAGCAGCAGCAGCAGCGAGGAGAGCGGCGGCAATGTTAGCGGCGATGAGGGGCTGGATGAAACCTGGAGTGGAGCCCCGACGCACCCTTTCGACCCCGGTAAGACATCTTCGCGTGGCGCGAGGAGACGGGGGGCGGTACCAGGGGTTGCGTACCCCTTCGATAGGGGCAGGAACGGGAGTGGCAGCTCCGGCGGCGGCAATGGCGGCAGCCGCAGCAGCGACGAGAGTGGCGACTTCGGCCAGAGCTCCGGCGGCGACACCGGCGGCAGCAGGAGCAGCGAAGGAAGTGGTGACTTCGGCCATAGCTCCGACGGCGACACCGGCGGCAGGGGCGGCTTCGGCCAGAACCTCGTCGGCGGCAGCGGCGACAACGGCGGCGGTGGTAGAGGCGGTAGAAGCGACGTCACCGGCAGCCGTGTTGGCGCTGGAACTCATGACGGTCGTGGCGGCGGGGGAACGGCAACGGCGTTATGGCGGCGGCGGCAGCGGCGGTGGCGCCCTCGAGTCGACCGGGAACGGGGAGGACACGGTGACAGCGACGACCTCACCTTGTTACAGCCAAGTGGGAGAACATGTGAAACGTTTACGACTTTGTTCGGTTTTGTGAGCAGGCATGTACGTTTTAGCTTCGCCATTTGGCCTCGCATTTATTTTTCTGTTCTGTTTTTCCCTTGCCAGCGCACCGTGCACTTTGATGCAGAAAACACACGTATGCAAAAGCGTGTGCGTACTGCTTTTTCTTTGTGCTTGGTTTCATGACAATAATTGTACGCTACGACAAGATAATCATTGCCACACCCTGTGGAATAGGAAGCAGCACGTGGGTATTTTTTTTTCCTTGGTTCTTGGTATATTTTCAGTCGCGTTTAACCTTGCAGCTGAATGGTTTATACTATTTCTGTATTCTTTGGAGGGAGTACGTTCAGTCGAGTTTTTTTTTTTTTCTACGAACTCGACGCTTTGCACTTAGAATGTTTCGATACTTTGGTTTTTATGTGAGGTCCTGAGTTAATTGGTCGCGCTCTGCGGTGTGTTTCTGGCCGCGCGCACGAAATGGGATGATAGCGCATTGTTTGACATGCATGAAGGCANCTCGCATTTATTTTTCTGTTCTGTTTTTCCCTTGCCAGCGCACCGTGCACTTTGATGCAGAAAACACACGTATGCAAAAGCGTGTGCGTACTGCTTTTTCTTTGTGCTTGGTTTCATGACAATAATTGTACGCTACGACAAGATAATCATTGCCACACCCTGTGGAATAGGAAGCAGCACGTGGGTATTTTTTTTTCCTTGGTTCTTGGTATATTTTCAGTCGCGTTTAACCTTGCAGCTGAATGGTTTATACTATTTCTGTATTCTTTGGAGGGAGTACGTTCAGTCGAGTTTTTTTTTTTTTCTACGAACTCGACGCTTTGCACTTAGAATGTTTCGATACTTTGGTTTTTATGTGAGGTCCTGAGTTAATTGGTCGCGCTCTGCGGTGTGTTTCTGGCCGCGCGCACGAAATGGGATGATAGCGCATTGTTTGACATGCATGAAGGCATACCGATCAGGTAGCAGGGGGGCTTTCGGAGTTCCAGTTGAGGAGACAGTTTGCATACGGTACGGACTTTTTCTGGAGTTTGATGCCTTGTGTGTTTCGTGTTTTCATGTTCTGGTTTGTATCGCATGTTTTGCTGCTCTTGCATCGAAAATCATAGGGGGGGGTGTCATGACGTCATGTATGACCATCTACAGGGCATGAGCAGCAATCGAATCGGTTTGTTTTCTGGTCGCGCCTACTTGTGTGTTAGGTGAACGGCAATACAAGGGGGTTGTTGGCATCGAAATATTAGGTCGGGGTGAATTTTGGGAGCTGACAGAAGGGGGGCTGTTTGCGTGGATGCTTGCTTACGTTTTCTATCGTTTTTAGACAGCAGCGACGGTACCGATTAGCGGGTGCGCGCTGTTTAGGATTTGGTCCTTGGACACTGTATTGGAGGAAGGATTTGACATGTTTTGACGATTAATGGTTGGGGCCATTGTGCTTTCCGAATTCTCGTTTTGATTGGTCAAGGAGTTGAGTTTTTGTTTTGTTTTAGGATTTCGTATTCAANTGTTGTGCTTTCCGAATTCTCGTTTTGATAGGTCAAGAAGTTGAGTTTTGTTTTGTTTGAGGATTTGGTGCCAACTCTTGCAAATTTCTTTTTTCCAGAAATATCCGTTTTCCTTCCGACGCCTCTCTGATGTACACAAATAATTATTGGGTACCTTTCTGAGGATGATTCTTTTGTGTCAACGGTTTGAGATTATTTCCAGAGACGAACGCGTTGGATTCGTGAATAACCTGATGGATGGAGGCGCTTTGTGTTAATTGTGTAGCCAGTTTTTTGTTGAGTAAGTTTTCTCAAGGGGTGTTCTTTTCTGTGTTGGCTGATTGTGCGTGAACGGTTGCAAAATCGTACATCGTATCAAGTAGGGGGGCTGTTTGTGGTACTGGAAATGAGTCCGATCTGTGCATCCTCTGTGGGGGATACGCGTATGGGAAGTATGGGTGTTATGGGTATGTATGCGGTTGGGGTCCAAATGCGGTCCCCCGGGGTGAGCACACGGCGGTGTGCCCCCGGCACTTGCCTGAGGGGCTTGCGTGACGGATATATGTATATAGTACATGGTCCTTTTTCATCTGCTGTTCCTGGGATAACATTGCACCCAGTCTCAACACCACAGACCGCTGAGGGCGGCAGTGCACACTAACAACAAGCACGAAACACGAGTGCAAAGTCAGCCTGGGTAGTACGTACATTTGGGTCCATCTGCTACCATTTACCGTAAACGTCGCAGTTCCCCCCCCCTTGTAGACTTTTCTCCCCCTCGAGTGTTTTTGTCGCTTGGCAACGTTGTAAAACATGCCAATTCACTTCGTGAACTCGGCAACCAGGATGCCGTTTCTTTTTTTTTACCTCTGTTTTTTTTTGGTGGTAACCATAATGGTGGTCGAGTAGATCATGTTGTGCGAGGTGGAGAACCCTCCGCGCAAGGAAGGGGGATGATCGCACCACGTTGTGTTAAAGTGGTCAAGCACTCTCGAGGCAGTTACACAGTTCTAACAACTTTCTCTGGAAGTGAAAGCACCAGAAAAAAATAATGAAGTCGTACGCGGCTGTCATCCGTACGCAAGGAAGTAAGCACAAGATGCCGAACAGCCTTACCAGGATGCAGCGCACCCTTCATGCGACTCGTCGAATACCTCACGGCGCTTCGCGCTTGGTGATGTGAGAGCCTGGTCCGGTGAGAACCCGGCGTGCTCCGTCCCGGCTTTGTAGGGATGCGAGGTCAATGGTCTAACGACTA